AGGGAACAAGGAAAATGAGTTTTCATTACAAAATTGTTGAGCTGCATTGCTCGTGAAATTTTATCAGCAAATTCAACATTGAAAGAAGCAGCCTTTTTACCAAATTGTTGAACGGAAATATAACAAAATGAAAATATTGACATACACCAATTGACAATTCAGCAACTTTTGAATAGTCAGTTTGTCCGTCACGTAGCAATAATGTAACCCCTGTATTTAGGAACATATAATAATAAAAATAACTGAGAAAAAAGATATCTGCACCACATCGCCTAACGGCCTAACCAAACTGAAAAAAAAAAAGTCATGGCATGCAGTGATGGACTTTAATATATCAATGTAGAGGGGGAGATGAAGGAAGTTTTGTAGGTATTTGAACGAATATATCATCCACACACTTCAATTTATTCTCTCATGAAGTCGGAGTGGTATATTACAGTTATTCTATTCGTAAATTCTATTGAGCCAAAAAACATTTCCATTCATGTATAGAACTCATTACGTTATCTATCTAGATCGATGGAATACGTTATCTACTTTCCAGGAAAAAAATATACAGTCACACGAAATGTTTGGAACAACTTCTATTTGATCTTATATCTATTCACCAAATTCGGTCAAATTTTCAAAAACGATGATTTTTCGAAAAGTGGAACAGTTCGTATAATAGTATATATGATTGAAAATCATCTTACCTATCACCTCCTCAGAAATATACGTTGGGATACCAGACACCTGGTATATGTGATTTTATGATTGATGTTGTCTTTAATATTGTGATGATATGTTACTTCAGTTCTGAATAATGTTATATTGGAAATAATAAAATATTAGTGGTTGAGAGAATATTTAATAGGTTAAGTTGATGAGAGAAATTGTAATATAAACTGATAAGCTATGTCAGAAGGAGAAGAGAATTTAATTCCCTCCTTTATATTCTACAAACTTGAACACTCGGAGTTTTGGGATGGAAACATTGCTTGATGAAACGGATTTGGTGAGCCTGACATAACGACGATAAGCTGAACCTAGAATTTCAGAAATAGATATTGCGGTTCAGAAGTTCGAAATGCCAAGGCGATTGAATAAAAGAGAAAATGTGAATCTCAAATTATTCAGAGAATTGCTCACAGTCAGTTGGAATATATGAAATATAAGGAAACTCCAAAGGGAATCTGGGAGGTATTGAAATATATATCTGCAAGGAAATGTATTGCTAGTCAACTCTTGATGAGGAAAAGTTTACTAATCATGAAATTCAACTCATCATCCAAAACTTCATCAACCCATTTTCTGAAATTCGATTAAATGATAAGATAATTGCGATTCAGGATAGCTACATCTGAAGAAACAGATATTGTTTGTCACTTATTGTTGACCATGCCCAAAGAATATGATATGTGATTGTGACAGCTTCGAAAATATTTCCAGGTGGAAACATGTCGTTGAATTATGTTAAAGTTAGACTGTTAGATGAAGAAACAGAACGTATAAGTATAACTTTAGGGGTTTCTCAACCTACAATGTGGACAGCGTTCTCAGCAGATAAAAGGAACGTTTATTCTAATCAAGGTGATGGTTTTTGAAATTATAATTCTTCAATTTACTGCAGTCATTGAAGTTCCAAATATTTCGGTTTGTTATACATATTCGATTTAATGTTACCAATTTGAACTATGTGGTCATCGAATGTCAAATTGTAAAAGAGAAAGATCACAATCAAGGAATTTTAGTGCAGATTATGCAGCCGAATGCAAAGAAGAAGAATATGATGTTACAGACGAAACTTTTTGCTTTCATAAACTGGTTTAAAGATTCTGGCATATCTGAGCATATTATGGTGAATGTAGTGCACGTGGTTAGCCGGAATCATCTGGAGAGTCCAATCACAATTGAACGTGCCAGAAATGCAGAATTATTGATTGCGCAAAGTTCTGGATCTATTAGAGATCAGAGTAGAAACATATGTTGGTAACAAGACACACTCAATTGAGATCAAAAAGGTTCAAGAAATTGATTTGCTTCCTGTTCGAGGAGAAACTGAAAGTAGTTGAATGGTTATGGAATTGTATGTGAAGATGGTGAAGGAAACATTTCTAGAGGAGACACTGAGACACTTTGTCAGCCGGTGCTGGGAGAAGAAACAAATTATATGGAATGGATATCTTCTTAGATATAGAGAATGTTTTCATTTGTATTGCTCATTATGAGTCTACTGAATTATGGCATGGAAGGTTATGCCATATTGAATGAATTGCATATTTCGAGCAGAATGGGTGGTATGAATCTCAATGTAAATAGTAGAGATCTGTGTGGCATTGAAGAAAAACAGACTAGAAGACCGTTAGAACTAATTCATAGCTACTTATTTGGTCCAATTTACCATCAATCAACAATTCTGGGGTGAATCTGTACTAACGGTAGCTTATTTATTCGCTCACTGTCCAACGACTGCAATCAAAGGAAGTTCTAGCTGAGCCCTGGTATGAAAAGAGACCCAATGTGACAAAACTTCGGGTGTTTGGATGTTTTACATATCTTCACATTCCAAAGGATTAATTGGTGGCAAGTTTGAGGGTCGATCGAAGAAATGTTTTATGGTTGGATATTGCCCAAACGGATATCGTATATGGTGCTCAGAAGAAAGAAAGATATTGTGTGGAAGGAATAGGTATAATATTTGATGGAAATGATTTCTCCTATGATGGAAATGGAGGAGGAGGGAGGTTCTTTCCGCAAGAAGTATTCGTTCAGGTGGAGAAATATATTAAAATGAATTAATATTCAAAAATTGGTGGAGAATTGGAACAACACCTAGTGATATAAAATACGTAGCAATAAAAAATATAGGAACAGAAAATTCAGTTAATGCTATTGAAACTACGAGACGTTCAAAAAGAAAAGTTTTACAACTACAACCTGAATATTGAAAAGATTCCAGTGCTAATGCTCTAAATGCCGAAAGTTATATAGACGATATTCAAATGATTTAGGCTGATATTGAAGAAGCAAAATATTGCAAATCGAACGAAGCAGTACAAGAGGAAATGATACCATTACTAGATAATAACACCTGGACCCTGATGGAACTACCACCTGATTTTGATAATCAATGGGTTTTCGCTATCAACAAAAATGAAGTTGGTGGAGTAGAAAGATAATAAACGAGGCTAGTAATTAGGGGGTTTCTTCCACAGAAGAGGGGTTGATTCAAAATGAAACCTATGTCACACCAGTTGTTCGTTTCAATGTTGTCCATCATCAACCAAAATAATCTGTTTCACTGTCAGTTAGATGGGTACCTCGAGGAATAAATTTATGTGAGGCAACCACATGGGTTTGAGAAAAATCCAAAACAAGCGCCACGAACTTGAAATGCCAGATTTGATGATAATGTTCGTAGTTTGAGACTAGAAAGAGCACAAAATGACAATTGTCTGCATATAAAAGTTGGTGAAGAATGAAATATGTTCTTGATTATTACACGTGGCTGATATTATTTCAGCTAGTGATAGTATGAAAGGAATGGAGGATATCAAGCTGGCTTTGATGAGTAAATTTGAAATGAAGGACTCAAGTCTGACTTCATTTCTTTTTGGGAATCAGAATTGAAGTAAGACTTGATGGAATGTTTCCCTGTCAGTCGATTCACATAAAAATTCATTTCTGCGTTATTGAGGATAAACTATACCGGGAGTTGTATTTTGTTTGCCTAATGTATTTGATGAGTTCATCAAGTCATGATTTGAGTTCTACTATCAACTATTCCAGCCGATTCCTGAGTAATGCAACAGATACTGAATGGAATGGTTCGAAAATATTGTTGATATATCTGAAAGGTACTTTAGAGCTTGGTTTAACCAATCTGAAGAATAATAGTTCACCATTGGTTGGGTATGCCGAGGCGGATTGAGAAGGCGATAATTATGAAACATCTAGCTTCGTTTTTCAAGTTTTTGGTGAAACAGTTTATTAGATGTAGAAAAAAGAAAAACTGTATCTTCGTCATCAAATGGGGCCAAATTTGTTGCATAAGCTGGTGCCGCACTACAAAAACTCAAGATTTTGTGTAAAGAAGACCACATCATGATTTACGAAGATAACTGAACATGTTTCATTTCCCTGCGAAATATGTACAGTCGAATGCAAAGAATATGTCGCAGTTAGATGGTGTTAGCGCTCTCATTGTAGTAGTTCATTTGCATCTGACTGTACTATACTATTCTTATTTGTTATGATGAGAATCATATTAAATAATCTCTCCTGAATAGATAATACACGTTCAATAAATGAGAAATAAATGATTGTGAAATATTTTTTCAGGTTGTATGAATATGAAGTTGGGAAAACGTAACATAGAGACGAATTCGATCCTTTATTCCGAAAACGTTTGCATCGAGTACGTGATAACAAAAGGAAGAAACAATAGAGCTTACAAGGAAATATGAGATCCAATAGGACGGTGGAAAAGCGTAGTGGGTGAGGCGCTTTACTAGTAATCAGAACATCGAAAGGTTGCTAGGTCGAATCCCTACAGAGCAGAGGGGTTTCTATTTCAAATTATTGAAGAATAATTTGAGAAAAAGTTACAGTCAGTATCGACATTTTCTACTCATTAAAAACAAATCATTATTGAAGAAACAACATTCATAATCCATTTTTTCTCTCAGTTATGTGACGAACACCTTCACCATTTACCTTCTCGGTTCAAATCTGAAATTTTATTATTTTCAGATAAAAATTGGGAGACTCCTGCTCAAATCGAAAGAGTTGGCAAGCCTAAATTGACATGAATAATCCAAACAAGCTTTTTGTCGTGCGTCTTCATTCGCTCAGTACTCAATAACAAGTACCACATTTCACATCAATCAGATCATTATCTGATGTCTGAGGATGAATCACATTTTTGCATACAATACATCATATACAATTCCTTTGACACTCATCCTGAGTCTGACACTGATTTCTTTCTTCAGAGTGAGTATAAATCGAATTCTTACCGAAAATATGAAAATCTTTGGTTTATTCTTGAGTCCTCGGCAAGTGTATGAATAAAACCTGGACCAAGTATTTTCCATATTGACATTTCCATATTCTTGACCATCATACATTTTTATTGCTCCATTGACATTAGAAATTCCGCAGAACAAAATTATCAATCCATCAATATTATCGGCATCATTACATACTGAAAAAAAAGAATGAACAATTTGTGAAGAATAGTGCATTAATTCAAACGGGTGCAAGCGAATTGTACTATGGATTATCAAATCTATAATTTTCAAGTGGTGTATCGATAATATCCTCGGTATGTTCCTATACCTTCAATAGAGGACTGCACCACCGCTATCCAAATTCTTTTGTTGAAAAGTGTAGGGCATACTCTGCTGATCTGATTTTTTTTTTCTATCTCCGGCGGCCCCCGATAGGGATACTAAATCTCTGCTTAGACCTCTCAAACTAATAACGATTTTGTGACAGGTAGTCGGAGCAATCAAGTGAACATTAATTCTCTTATTTTGACATGTACTATGACACTTTTCAAAACTGACGGTAGTTTTGAAACGTTTCACTTTCCATATATATTACATACCTGATGATGAAATGTTCATTTAAACACTATGTTATGAAAAAATTGATTGACGAAGATAAAAGTGCATGTTGCATAATACTTGGTGAATCTGAACTATTTTACACAAATAAGGGTATCAAAAGACTGTTTCGTGAATTTCGTCGCTGATTCGTGACCAAATTATTTTTTGACGATACTTCAAATTGACGGGTGAAGTCAACTTACCTTCTGAATTTTGTACATATTCGGTGGAACTCATGTTGAAGTTATTTCTATTGAAGCAAAATGTTCCTGAATTATTCAAAAAAACTGTACGTGACTAGTTAGGAAACGCAATTTGTGTAACTCTGTGTTTTGCTGGATCTCTATTTGCTCGTCTCGCAAAATCCCATCGGTACACGAGTTTTCTAGCTCGTTACGTAATAGCTTGAAGGAGAAAAGGTATCCATTTCCTCCCGAGTGTAAAATTTGATGCGGAGGGCATTGAATAGACTTATGAGGGAAGCACCTTTGCGTCCAAGATATATATATAGGGTGATGCGAAATTCGACCGCTTGACATATGGTGGCTCTCGTGATTTGATGAAGAATGAGTCAGGAACATAAGGCCATAATATGCTTAGTTTTTGAGTTAAAGTTAAGTTCAAATTGGTTTTCCGCAATAACTCGAGAGCGGATGATTATTCAGATAAATTTATTGGTACATGAATTATACTTCAGAAACCACTATTCCTGACGGGAAGTTATCTCAGACCATTTTTCTATTGGCGTAGTTAGGAGGTATAATTGAATTATTCTGCAAAAATACATGGGTGGCGATAGAAATTTTTGGAATTTCATGCTCGAATATTGAAGTCAATTCAATTCTGAAGATGAAAACTTCTCCTTATGGAAATCAATAGAAAAAACGGAAAATATGACTACACTGCAGTTTCCTATATTCATAATCAACCAACATGAAAATACAAAAATATCAACAAAAAATCATAATAAATGCTCAATGTTTCGGCCATCAACTTGCTGACACATCATTCGAAAAAATTTAGGGGGTTAGTACGTATCAGTTATGCTAAAGCCTGGATTCTTGTTATCAATTCTTAACCAGTTTCAACGATGGTTTCGTATACCAAGGATTTCATATTTCCCCACAGATAAAAGTCAATGCGATTTAGATCGGGTGATATAGGGGGCCATATGTGAGGTCCACCCCGCCCGATCCATTTTTCACCAAATATTTTAGTAAGGAACATTCTCTGTAAACCTGTAAACTTGGGTAGGCGCACCATCATGTCGAAACCATATGTTTCTTCTGATATTCAACGGAACATTTTCCAACAGTCCTGGAAGTACTTCTTGTAGAAAACGCCTGTGAATTGGTCCATTTGATTCATTCGGTAGACTATATGAATAGAAAATTTGACTCTTTCTTGTGTTGAAAATTCTATCCTTGGTGAATTTAGCTCTCACAGGATAGTCTCTTAGTTCCAATGCCTGTACTGTGGTGAATTTATAAGGATGTAGCATTTGTTCCCGTAGAACTTTCCACACAATGAAATTGTCCACATTAAGTGTGCGACCAATCGTTCTCGTACTAAAAGATGGTCTTTTAGATATTTCATTTGATATTTCCTCTTCTACACGGACATTTCTTGTTGTTCTTTGTCTCCCTGCATTAGTTATTTTGCTAAAGTTGGATGATGAGGTATTCTACGATTGGGAAATCTTTCTTCATATAACCGTGATGCCATTCTACCGTTTCTTCTAGCTTCTCCGTATAACATTATCATATCAGTCATTTCACCGTTAAAAAAATTCATAACAAGCGGAAAAACTGAATCCGATTCGAAGTGTTACAATCTTTCTGCAATGACGGGTTATGTCAAAACATGATCACGTTTCAAAATCGTTAGATAATGTGGTTTGATGGAAAGCTGCGCCAAGTAACGTTTTCCTTTTTTTTTCTCGAACATGGTGTATTCTATTGATTTCCATCAAGAGGGCTTCTCATCTTTTGAATTAATTGATTCTCTATATTCGAACATGGAATTTCACAAATTTCCATCGCCACTTGTGTATTTTTGCAGAATAATTCAATTACACCTCCTAACGACGCCAATGGGAAAATGGTCTGAGATAACTATCCATCAGGAATTGAGGATTCTGAAGTTTAATTCATGTATCGAATTTGAATTCGAATTATTCAGCAGTTCGTGAGTTATTGCGAAAAAACCATTTCAATCATTCAACTTCAACACCGTGTATCTCAAGAACAAAGCACATTATGACCTTATGTTCCTGACTCATTCTTCACTGTATCACAAGAGCGTTGTTGGTCGAATTTCGCAACGCCCTGTGTATGATTTTATCCACAAACGCGTATATTTGAGAGCGCAGTCCTTGAAATTGTGCTACGAGCGGTCTATCTCTTGAGTCGATCCAAATCAATGTGTTACATGAGCTGAGGTTACAATTGACATCAGGTTTTGATCGAACGAAAATCAATTTGACACATCTGTCACAATTGAATCTGTTTATTGTGTAATTGCATTCTATTCAAAGTTCCGATTGAGTAAGTTTGGAATATGAGGAAGTGTATGAGATCATTGGAGTTCAAAAAGGAAATTGTTATTCGTTTTATAGTAGATAGTGATGGTAACTGATTGAGTACTTGGGTAGCACAGATCTTATCACGTATACCCATACCAAGGCCAAGCCAATTCATGTTACCTCCCACGAGAGGTAATATTTTTCTTCAGTGGACGTAAGTTGGCAGGTTTGTGTCCTTGAATGAGAGGACAAACGCTCAATTTCGATGCAGTGAGTAGATGCATATTTATTCCTCATAGTAACAGCAAACACACATCAAATAAAATACATCAAACTAGACATAGAACTACCCCAATGAGCAGACATTTTCATGGAACTGTACATAGACAAAGAAATGATGATAGACCAAACACATTTGATCAACAACACCGAAGGAACTCTACCCCTGATGGAGTAGATGACGTAGATTCACAAAATGACGAAGAATATTTTGACAGCCAATATCAAAATCATCATGATGATCAACATTTTGACTACCAAAATGAAACTAGCACCTCTTAGAATAGAATTTGGTACTTGAATCCTGGTCAAGATGAATATCAATCAGAACCAATTGATGAACCTTTCTTTCACTTAATGGATTCTTCAGAAGCGAACCCATATAAATTCATTCGACTTATGATCGCAAAGATCTTCTATACATATATCCAAATTGCAAATACTCCATTGGAGTTTCCAATTGACAAAGGAGCTACCAAATAATTTTTGATTCCGTATTTGCAGAAAACTATCATGGAGAGTTCATAAAGAAGGAACCTTTCAGTTTGTCTAAATTATAGCCTTCAGCGAATTCAATTCAGATAAAAAAAATAAAATTCGACTTGTTTAAAGTTCATAATTTTTTCGAAGATCTTCGATTATAAAAACACCCACTTCCCAAATTCCGATGGCTCACTATGAAAAAAAAGGTAAACTCCTATTTTTTGCACGAATCGAACCATTTTCGATAGAATCTGTTAAAATTTCAGTTGCGATACCAGAAGGTACTATTACAATTCATAAAACTCGAACTATCGTTCATCTAGGATATGCATTTGTCGATGTTCAGAATAACACCAGTGGCGTTCAAGACGTTTTTCTTAATAAACCCGTACCAGTAAAAACGATTTGACAATAATGACTTTGACTTTATTATTCGACAATACTAGACACAGATTACGAAACTATTCAAAACCTGATATTACGCAACTCATACGAACTCATCACATGAATCAAGCAGAAGAATATCACAAAGATGAATTATGCTGCTCTTATACAGAAATATTTCATTGCAAAATTCGAAATGAACCTTCAAAAATCAAGACAAACACAAAATTAGAACCGAATCACATTTATTCGAAATCATATCATCGTAATCCTTCTATTCATAAACCGGGAGTTGAAAGACAAATTACTGAAATGCGTAGACAGACAATCATCAGACCCAGTGGCTCTCCTTGGTCTTCCCCGATCTGGATAGTCTCTAAAAAATCTGACGCATCGTTCAGGAGAAATGGCGAATAGTTGTCGGCTATAAAAATTATCAAAGAAATAATTGACGACAGATATCCTCTACTCAAACATGACCGATATCCTCGAAAAATTAGGCCAATGCCACTATTCCTCGACCTTGGAGCTATCAAGCGCCTTTCATAACATTGAAATGTATCCTGATGATATTCCAAAAACTGCATTCAATGTTGAGCATGAACATAACGAAAACTTGCGAATACTTTCGGTACTTAAACATGCCTCGTCAACATTCCAACGAGTCATGGGGAAAGTCTTGAGAGATATACAAAATGGAATTTTCTTCGTCTATATCGACGACATAATCGTTTTTCCCACCTATTTACAGGAACATTCAACAAATTCGAAATTAGTTTTCGAGAAATCACGAGAGAGTAACCTAAAAATGCAACATGATAAATCAGAATTTCTGAGGACTGAAGTAGCATTCTCAGGGCACTTCATCACTCCGGATTTAATTTAACTAGACCCAGATAAAATAAAATATGTCGTAGATTATTC